TCTTATATATAAAATAGTATATCTTATGTGTATATATCTATCTTACATATTAGCCTATATATTAAAATTTTATTTCCAGGAATAAATTTTTCTGAGTGCTCTGCTGAAGACTCCTGACCTTCATTAATTTTTGGCAAATAATACAGAACTGGAAACTCTTATTTGAGATACACACCATGAAAAAATATTAACTCAGTTCAGTTAGCAGATCACAGTTTCTATTTTTCACGCAAGTGCTTCAGTTATAAATATTGTCATCCCAAAAACTCAAAGTTTAGTATATGAAGCAACAAAACAAAAGTAAAAGTTCACCTGGCATTCCTCTGACTCTTCTGCAGTCACTGGAAGAATAGAAGACTTTGCTGGTAATTTCAGTTCATATGACATTATACTCCACCTACAAGAAACATAACAGCTTTTAAGTTTTCAGATTATTAGTTCTGTCTTTTCTCCAGCATATCAACAAAAAATTAAATTCATTGTCACACCACAGAATAACTTGTTAAAAAAAAAAAAAACCACCAAAGTATCTTAGTTTTTAATTGTATGCTAACTGAATATGGGTGAAACAATTGAGACTAAAGGGAATAATTTCTTTTATTGCACAGGTATTTTGTTAGCGATTTGAGCCTTATTTATGAGCAAGTATGGCACACTCAATGCAGGCAACACAGATTTTCCAGCAAATCATTCACAGTACAAAAGAATTTGTGAAAACTAATTACAGAAGTCAAAGGAAAATATTTGTCTTCCTAGAGAAAAAGCTCCAAGGTAACATTAGCTTTTCATTTCAACTAGGCATGAGAACAAAGCAAATGGTGAACTATCTTCACTGACATATATGTATTTTTGCCCTGGTAAAGGACAGTACTCTACAGCATAGATAGTATGAAACTGCTAATAGCAACATCCTTCAAAGCCTGCTGAAAAGAACAAGTAATCATTGCAGACACCCTTGGGAGCAAGTCTACTGAAATTAGAGCAAAAAATTAAACTAACCTTTTTTTCAGTACAGAAAAAGAGAGACATGATTTAATCTATGAATCTTTCAGAATGCCCAAGCCAACAATTATTTCTAAGGATCAGTAAAACGCATTTCTCTGTATACTTTATTGTAAAACAATCAAGTAGTCTGTAGAAAAGCTTAAAATAAAAAAGGACTTGTTTCTCTATTTCATTAAAAAACCCCCAAGATAAAATCCTCTTTGATCACATTCAAGTGGTTGTAACTAAAGCAAGAACAGAAACACCCATGAGAGAAAAGAACACACAAAACAAGGAGTGGGAAGATCTCTTGGTTTTGACTCAGAAAATACCTCAAAGGGAAATATCCAAAGCCAAAGATCCACTTAGCCCAGCTGATGCCTCAGCAAATTATATGAAGGGTGAAAGCACATGATGCGAGTTTTCCTCACATCCAAGACAGGTTTCTCAGGTGTTTCACAAATAAAAATGCTACCTGTAATGGTATCTAATAGCGTGCACGAAGTCCATAAAACTGCACAAAATGGTTTTGAATCTATACAATTTCTTAACACTTACAACTTCTTGTAAGAAGCAGTTATGCAGCTTCATCAGTTATGCAATAAACTATCTCCTTTTGCTCATCTTTGGACAGCATACTTCCTAGTTTTATGAGCCGCTTCCCCCTCTGACTCTTCAGTTTAAAAAGGACGTTGAAGAACTGTCCCCATTACTATCTCAGCTTCCCTCATGATGATGATCTGCACTCTAAAACCCAAAACCACTGAACATTAAGTCTCTAAGACAGATTTAGCCCATCAGAAACCCAAACAAATACCATTTGAATCTCATGGTAAATCATGTATATGCACATTTAGGTTTACCTGTCTAACATTTTTGTGCTGGCTCGTTCTAGTTTCTCCAAAATCTGAGGAAGTTGTGTGTCATCATCACAGGATCCGCCCCAACCAAGGACACGAGCAAGGTCATTTCCAGTACCAAGGGGTAACACTCCTAACTGACACTGAAACACAACACAGGAGCAAATCTACTATTGAAAACCACAAAGAAAAAGCACAAACTACTACAAATGCTTCTCATTTCAAGCAACAAAAGTTAACTATACGACTGATGTCTAAAGCTTGCAAATCAAATTCTGTAACGGCAATACAACTTGTCCTGTTTACACCAGTAAAAATTTTCATTTAACAGTAACTACTGAGTTTGGCCCACATACAGACATATAACAAAGAACTTAGTCAACAAAAAGTAGGCATAGAAAATTAAGTCTAGTCAGAATAGTCAAGGAACGTAAGTATACACACTTGCCTGTTTGTGCAAGCTGAGCTTATCAATTTCTGACAAGACCCAACCCACACTTCCATCGCCACCACACACAAGAATCCTGAAGTTGTCAAACTTCTGAAATAACCGCAAACTGCACAGAAAACGCAGCCTGTTAGAGCCAGTTATGTACACTAGCGAGAGCACAGTTACATTCATTAGCAATTGTTACATTAAAATATGGTGCACAGCACCTTTGTTGTGTTTTTTTATTGTTCTGAGGTAGGTGGATACAACCATTTACTTAATAAACCTATCTGCATCCCATCTATTGCTGTATATTCCACTTTTACTGAGATTTCTGATAAATAACATGCCGAGTTTTACTTTAAAAAAATTCCCTTGATATTGTTTTCAGGATTTTATTAATAGTATTTTATTAAGTTAATTAATATTTTTTCAAAAATTCTAAGCTATCAAATTGCAACTGCTCTATACTTCCCACTTCAGCCAGAAGCTCAAGGCACCACAGGGAATTTTTCACGAGAGGAGGTTAAGACACAATGACAGGATGCACTCCACAATACGGGCAGGTTTTTGCCAACACGTGACTAACCAAATGCAAGGACACTCAGAGGCAATTATTACAAATAAGGTGATCACAATATAAAACAAATAATACTAGTGTTTCATATTAAATCCTTAAAGTCATATCATGCTTTCACTTCCTATGGCTCTTCCTCCTGTTCTCTGACTTTTAACACCTACAGGATCCAACACTTGGGCAATACAGAAAAGGAGGACGAGAGCAGAACAAGCAGAAAGATGAGACATAGAGGAAAGGGGAATGAAATGTGAAGAAACAGCCAAGAGGTATAAACAACAGTGATTTAAACTAAAAAAAAAAAAAAAAAAATTGGAAAGTAGAAACTCTTAAAATAATAAAGATGTTTATTTTTAATGCATGTTATTTTCCAGAATATGTATAGCCTCAGAACTATTTTGAAAAAGCAATGTATTAAGACCACAATTTTTTGAAGCATTTATATTTTTTATAAAGAATATAATGTTACTTGTATATGATACATACTGTCACTTGTATAGGATATGCAGGTATCTATTCAGAACAAAATATGCAGATATTTAAGGAAAAAAAAACATTGATAACAAAACAATTTATCCTACTCTGAAAAACCTCTAGAAATACCCTATGTCAAAGAATCCAGCTCTGCTTTTTAGATCAACTAGAAAAAAAGAAGACATCAGCACGACCTGATAGAATAACTGCTAAGGATCTCTCTTTGGAAATCAGGAAAAATATTTAAAAGCAAATAACCTGACCTAAGACTACTGTGCAAAACCAAAGTGAGCCTCCCAAACCATGCTGCTGGTAGGTACAACTAGATGAAGCAAGAGAACTTGCAAACAGACAGACATATTTTTTCAGACTGTCGTCTCTCAAAGACTGTCTCTCCAACTGAGATGAACCTTCTTTACTTTTATCCGTCATTATATGTACAAAAATGTTAGCTGAAAGGGACTTTGATTAAATTCAGATTTAAATCAATTTTATAATTAAAAGAGCATTAGAACTTAAAGAGTTAATATAACATGTCCATAACACAGCACTAACTATTATATTTGTATTATTTGCTCACTGTTTGAACTGAATTTTGGTGCATTTGTTTCCTCTAAATTTTTATCATGCAAGCATAATTCTGCATCTGTACAAAAATTAGTGTTTCTAGTTGCTGTAACTGATATTAATAGGCCATTTAACCACAATCCTACATATGAGTATAATTAACTTATGTAACTGAAAAATAAGCATGAATTTAATCTTTATGAATGTGCAAAGATGCTTGCGTGGTAGCCACCACCATGCAAATTTCATCCTTATCTCTCCAACAATCAACCCTTAGATTTTGTAGAATTTCTGATGGTTTTAATTGTGTTTTTGCTCTAGATTTTGGGAAATGCTTAATTTCTTGACCATTTGCATCTATTGGCTAAAACCATATTTTGAATGTAGTTCTCCAGCAAGAAATGTATCAGTGTATTCATCCATTACCCACTGCAGACTCCCCCACTGACATTTGTGTTCAGAATTCAAAAAGATACAGAGTACATTTAGACAATAATTTTACTCCATAGCTATTCACAACAAAGTCACAGGAATATCTGAATTACACATATGAAATGGAAGAAAATCACCCAGGTAACTGTGCATAAAGGCTCTGATTCAGGCAAGCATGTAAACAATTCTAATGGTTTTGAACCTTACCAGTTAACAGAAGTCAAAGATAGCCAAAAAGCTACAAAAACTTGGTCTGATGGGTTTTGGTTTTGAATGTTCAAGTGAGTTTTTCTAGAAAGAAAATACTTTCCTACAATCCTTTCACCCATCAGAATTCATCTTGAAATTCTGTTATTTACTAGATTCTAATTAGGAATTCACAGCAGATATTGGTGATAGAATTATAGCAACAAGGGGACAACACAACACTATACTTTGCGCTAAATTCCCTTGCAGAAAGGATTACTCAAGATTTCCAAGGTCATTACCCTAAGTGAGGTCCTCCATTCATTAAATCGAACACCTGAGCTGGATTTAACGACTGTTTGAATCGACGAAGAAACTTTACTCCCTGATTGTCTCCACTCTTTGAGTTAACAAAAACTAAAAGAGGACTGGCACAGGATGGCGGGCATGTGGCTTTCCAGAAACCTGTGAACATAGTTAGAAAGAATGAAATAAATAAGACTTTCTAATATGAACAACATAAAAAGAACTCATGGGAAAGAGGAAGAAAGAAATGAAGGACAAAAGGAGTACATTTTGTCATGCATAATGTAAATGCTGAACTGACTGTCAGACTATTATTGCTCAAGTTCATTTTTTCCTCTCCGGTATCTTAAGTGCCTAGATTTAGTAAAATCCTGAAGACAATAGCTTTATTCTTTTTCCACAGTGAACAACGTTAACCTTTTAGAATACTTCCCAAATTGCACCTTCACAGATTTATGTGTGATTATCACACAATTATCACACATTATCACATAATTAAATATATACTTCAGTTACAAGTGTTTGGTTTTTAATCTGATTTTGAACTGGATCATCCACATCCATATGAGCTTTCTAAGACTATGCACAGATTTGAAAAGTTTCTGGACCCAGGTGTAGACTTCACATGAGAACTTTTTTTCTCAGGCTGAAGTTATACTATTAATTACAATAGAACCATGAAACAACAGACCTTCCATTGTGATCCAAAGCTTATTAAAGTCAATGCAGGTCTTAACTGATTACAGCAGGCTTTCTATAAGGGCCTTAGTAAATAGTACTAACAGACACTGTTGTCACTAACATGACCACTCCATGGAAGTAGTGGTTTCTCAGCAGCACTTCAAGATCAGACATCACAGGTATAGATTTTAACATTTGTTTCAGGCAATAGTAAAGTAACTATGCTGGTTTTCGTTGCCTAAAAAAATTACTAAAGCTACAGATAAAAAACTGGCATCAAAGGATGCTAATTTAATTCTGCATTATCATAATGCATTATTTAAAATAAGGTTTGATTAATTTATTTAAATGCCACAAAAAATAATTTACCATGTAGAACAATCTTCCAAGCATGAATAATAAATAGCAGCATGACACTCTGGTCTGAGACACATGGACTTTTTTTTTATATGTATAGCATAAACAATCACTAACTTAATACAATAAAATTCATTAAATTGTGTTAAAGGTGTTGGTCTTCATTTGCCATCAACACAACCTACAAAATTAAAGCAGTTAGATTCCATGATACTCCTTATTAAATCCACTCCTTGCCTTTAAGTGCAGCCTCCCACTGCTCACACATCCCTGTCCTGAGCCACCAAAGAGCACCTCTGAACTTTGAACATTTGCTGGGTTTTTTATCAGTGTGTTGCAGGATTCTTACACTGCTTATATTTAAAAGAAATTTAGAGAGGCTATGGAAGCGATTCCTCTAAGAAGCCTGATAAAGTAGCTGTTGGATCTGAGCTGTTCAGCTAGCTTACCTCTGCATAGAGCAAAGTTATCTAGACTTTGATAACTCATGGAATGAATGATGCATGCCAGCCCACTTCTTCTGAGGACTCTGGTCATCTACTTGAAAAGTTTCCAAGGGTCATAAAGAAAATGGGAGAAAATTTCTAGTGGGAGACCTTTCAAAAGCATTTTTAAAATCACGTCAGTTAAATAATCCTCTAAGAAGCTACAAACAAAACGACACTATTTGCTAAATTTGCAGACTGTATTCACCTGTTCAGCAGAAGGATTTTAGCCTTGTTTATTTACACAGATCTCTGTAGGCACTGCAAGTCCACAGCTACCACTGAACACACTACAATACTACGTACCATCAGAATCTATACTGTTTAGTGCTGTTGGAGGTATGATCGATACCTTACACTGGCCAAGTGGACATTTACGAGGATACTGATCTTTACAGGCAGTGTGAACCTACAAAAGAAACAAAAAATTATTTCCCTGCAGTGGAATTTCAACATGAAAGTGTAACTGATACAGTATCTATGTAACGAAAACAGACTAGTATATAACACTTAGGTGTACAGGGAAGAAGTGCCAGACTGGAAAAAAAACCCATGAGAGCGTTCAACCTCAAAGGCTTGTTACTCATCACAGTTTGGAGTACTTGATCTTCCAGTACCCCTACAGCAGACATGAATCATCCTTTCAAGGGGAATTGCTCATCTCCATCCACAAGCAAGGGACAACCAAGTTCCCAGCAGGCAGCATCTGAGCTGGGGCAGCGGGCACACTGTGCACATACAGAGCAATAGCTCTGCACGTGCCTGGTCCACCTGGATGTTCTGGAAGATGTATCTGCACTAAAGCCTGCACACCTACCAAGCCAGACCAACCCACCAAAGGTGGGTCCCATAAACTATGTGTTGGAGAGGCCTCTTCCATAGTTACTGGAAAAACAGGTCACGGTGCTCTCAAACAGGTGCTGCACTTCCCCTCAATTTCAGGTCACCTCCGGAGATGCCAACCATTTTCTACGGCCTACACACAGAGCCTCAGACATCTATATGCCGAAAGCCTCAACAATAAAAAAACCTGCTGACTCTACATTTCTATAGCCTAGTATATGAAACCCATCTTTTTAGAGAAGTTAAAAAAATCAAGAGAAAACTATGTTTTGAGGAAACAGGAATAACATGTAATAGAATTTCAATCAGCAACCTACAGAGAGCATCCTGAAGAAGAAAACGTCAACATTTTGCAGTAAATAAAAATATTACTACAATAATATTAATGAATTGTAATAAATATTAACATTACTAATATTACTAAATATTACTAAAATATTATTACAGCAATATCTACAATAAAAGAGGCAAGAAATTAACACAATATTATCAAGCATACAGAGCAGGCATCTGAGCCTTCAGTTATCAGTTAGGAGAAGGCAGAGAAAACACACTGGATGACAACAGCTATTAAAGAAAAGCTGCATCTGTGGGCGTATGAAAAATTATCTGAAGTATGACAGTCATGAGAAATTACAAACGTTTAAGAGACCTGAGTTTGCGCAAGCTGCCTGCTCCTACTTAATCCAAAAGCAGAGATATGTAATGACAAAATAAAAATAATGACGAGCAATAAAACTGGCAAAATCCTAGATGCTTGGATGTGGTTCATTGCACCTACCATAGCTTTACACCAAAGGCACTTCCAGTCTTGCAGGCGTAAAACACTGCCACAAGTCTTGTCGCAGACTGCACATTTGGCACTAACAGGCAGATTACCCTCTAACCACTGGTGAGGCATAGCTATCTGTGAAGAAGTAATCATACAAGTTAAATTCTCAGAAATTAGAGGCTTTTGTCTCTCAAATATAGGTGGATTTAAACTACTTCCCATAGCTCTACCCTTTCATCAAAGCAGGTATTGCTGACCAGGATAAGTGACACTGATGCTCGCAAGGCAACAGCTATGAAGGTGGACTGCAGAGGTGTTTCACATGCTAGGCAGAAAATGTGACAGTTGAGGAAGGGAGACACATCTCATCCAACTATTCACAGTACTATGGTAGCAACTAACCACAAAACAATGGGGCAGTCAAATCTAGAGACTCCATTAACACAAATAAGTACTCACTCCCTTAACGTTGACTACACGACAAAAACCAAATAAAATAACAGAAATTCAGAAGAATTCTGGGGCTTTACATACCCCCTCAGTCACCATGACTGGTAAGTCACAGGTCTATAAGGCAGTCCCTAAATGCAGTGCAACGCTTTACTCAGTGCAGTCTTTGTCCCAGTAATACCACAGGCAACTCATGACCCTCATAGGTGTGCAACTTAGCACTAACCTTCTAGGAAGAAGTTTCACACCAGTGGCACATACATAGTTGTGTTTGGAAAAATAACCTATCTATCACAATAATGTTCTGAAAAGCTTTTGTAATTTCTCCTGCTTATTTTAAAATGTCCTGCTTTCATCAGTAAAAAGCACCCTCCACATTTCAGTGAATTCTAAGCAGGCCTCCTGGGGAACAGCTATCCATAAGGAGGACACAGAATAGATTGCCAGAACAGCAGGGTAGCAGCGTAAAATACCACCTTTGCTTAAGAGCAGTAGGAACTTCTAGGAGCAATTCTCCAGCTTCAGTGTTTCTCTGCATGTGGGCTTTAAAATCTTATAACACAGCTGCAATCTAGTGCCCACAGACACTAAAATTGTCTTGTGAGATAAGAATATAACTTTCGTTCTAAATACCATGTTCATCTTTGAAAAGTGTTCAGGAATACAGTCACCCACCACTAACTTCAGTGGGTCACATGGCAATGTTTCTGTGCTTAGCTCTTTTTATCTTTTTCTCATAAAGAAGAAACTGCTTTGGAAAATGGTGTAAATATGAATAGTACTTACACCATCTTCATCTTCAATGATGTCTTTTCCAATTGAGGCTAATGTAGTCCATTTGCAGTTATTTGTTGCTCGGACAGCACATCTTTTATGTGCTTTAAACTTACACACTGGAAGGAACACATAAACATGTATACTGTTATTTGCTGTATTCCAGTGATGCATATCTTTAAAAAAATTGAACACAGATATTCCATAAAACAGCCAAGTACATGTCACTTAAGTGTTGCACACACGACACAACCTAACAAAAAAAAAAATTGAGTTCATAATCACTCCAGGTTTAACTCTCTAAAATGAGTTTAACTGCTTAGCTGTGGCCCATGTTAAGTGTGTCCTCAAATCCACATCGGTCTCCATTTTTTTCAGGTACAATGCAAGGTATTAAGGTACAAATATATCTTAAATTGTGCTTTTGCCTTTTCTGATCCTCAAGTGACACAACTCAGATGCCTGGTTTAAATTTGCAAGAGGCAATGGGAGAGTGTTTCACAGAAGTATTTTGCTTCAGGAGCTCTGCTTCTTTGCTTAAAGGATCCTTTTGGGGCACCACATGATGCCTGTTTTCCCAGAAGCTGAAGAAGTGCAGGGTTAGGAGGTGATATATTTATACAGGATACTGTTGGTTACAGTATTTTCCAGGAGACTGCAGTAAGTGAGGAAGAGCCTGACTTCTCACTGGATTATTTATTAAAAATCTACTAATTGGAATACTCAGCACAAGCATGTAGTACAGGCAGACATTTTGACAATCTAATAACTATTTGTATTTTGTTCAACTCAAGTAATATGACTAGTTATTGATATCATATCATACCAAACAGACCAATGCACCCAACTGTTGGTGTTTCTGTTACTGGAAGTGCATGACATCATTCTGTTTAGAGTGCATTATATAAATTATTTTGGCAAAGATCATTAAAGGTTTATGAGAACTAGCCAGCAGACCAGAAGCAGTAGTCTCTTTTCAAACAAATATTTGACAGGAAACCATCAAAAGCTTTGGCCCATTGCTTGTCCACTATTAAAAAACATTAAGCCATGGTACAAAAGGTCTTGTGAATCATAAATTTCTCATTTTAATTCCACTGATACATTTCCAGATCAATTTTAAAAGTGAATTCAGACTACGTAAGCAACATCTGAGCTTGAGAGCAATCCTTCCTGTTCTGTGAGATGTGTGAAAGGATGTGCTAGCTCAAAGAGAGAGAAGCAAACAGAAAAAGGAGTTTTGTTGCTTTTACAGTAACTCCTCCGGTCATTTCAAAAAGCAGCATTCATAGACCCAAAGCGTGCAAATATCCCATATTCCTCAACTAACAGGGTAGGCTCGCATTTTCAAAACAGCTCAGCACTAAGCTGGCTCCAAGTGTCTAAAGAAGTCAGCTCTCACAGAAGCACAGAAAGAGGGGCTGCATTTTCAAGTTTTGAGCAGTTTTGACACTGGAATGTTTTGGAGAAGATATGCCACTGAATTCAGCTTCCTCCTCATAAATGATAGGCATTTGTCTTTGCCACACAGATCAAAATACAACAAATCCGGGATGAGAGGAAACAGGAAATGCCAAATTACAAAGGTGTAATGAAGTAAGGGAATTTTCAATCCTATTGCGCTATGATTCAGCGAGATCTCAGGACCCTGTATTCAACCTCTGCTCTCTCAACAAGGCAAGGACAAATTCAAACCCAGGATCTGAAGAGCTGTAGCAAGCCACACCATGGATGGCAATTGACAGCTAATGTCTGCTTTGTGGGTACGGTATATAACTCACCACATCTCAGATCAGACTTTTTGTAGGTCACCTCCCTGCAACCCCAATATCATCAAACAACTCATGTGACTCTGAGCATTAAACATTATCAAAAACAATGACCTTAAGACACCGATGTAACTTTTGAGCAAAATACATAGCAGTACAGAAGAGACAGGTATAGAAAGGAAAATTTTAAATAAATCTCAACCTTAGTTACCACTACCTCTTAATTTCTTTTGTCTCAGATGATACTGCATCCCATTCATCAATCAGTCTGTTATCTGAAATCTTTTCAAAACATGCAGACATACTGCTAGACTTCAATTGCCACTACTTCACCAATTAAAGTTAAAAGATGAGAAAAGGAAAAATTTAGCCAAACCAAGTCTATAATATTCATAGAATGTTATTTTCAATTTTAATTTCCTCTGTAAATGTTCCTAGCTGGAATATGAAGCAGGTCTTTCAGAAAGCCAATGAAGAGAACCACTTAATTAGCAAACAGCTGTCACAGTGGTACCAACATCTGCTGTCAGACACAGTGATTAAATCTAGAGCTGTTATTATCCGTAATGAAGAAAATTCAACATTACTGAACATTATATGATGGGATCTCTTGCACAGAAAAAACCCACCTTTGTCACAGAACTCTTCTGTCTCAAAGGCCTTTCCTTCTAACCACTCGCCAATAAATTCAACTATATTGACAGGACACTCGATTCCCCCCCACCCCCCAAACTTACCCCTCTATTGCCAACTATTTTACGATGAGTTTTCTTTTCTGTGTTCTTTAGAGAACTGCCTCAGACTGTTCTTTCCTAACTTCAAAGGCCAAAGACAAAGTTTTGAAATGGAAGATCCCTGAGCTGGTATCTATAGTTTAAGTTGCCAAGATGGAACGATTTGTCTTCAGGTATTCCAAGAAACCTGCTGGGTTTGTTTCCAAGAATGCTATCACATGACGTATGGACAAGTCACAGTGAAAACAGAGTGACTCACATGAAAACAGCAACCTAACTTCACTCCAATTTGAAGCTATGTCTACATTATACAGGATAAAATTCAGTAGTTTATTGGTAGTTTCTACTATTCTCACCCAAATAATAACTCTCTAACTTAATTCAATATTACAAACAGAGTGCCAAAAGAATACTCATATTACAAAGTCAAGTACTGCAAAGTTAAGTTAATCATGCAACTGTAATATAGCTTCCATATGCAAGTGTAAAGTCTGCAGTTATATGATCATACACTTTTTGAGAACAGGACCCTCATTTACTGCATGCAATGGATGGTTCTTGATAACTATGGAGCTGTGTTGTACTCTGGTTCCTAATAATTTTCAATAGGTATTTGCCTTATTTACCAAAAGCTAATGAAATACTGCATTTTAGACACCAATATTAGTTTCTTCCTGGCCTTTAATAATAATCATCATCATCATAATCTCAGAACTACAACAAGTAAGACCTTTTTATTCAATACTGACTGCTTCATTCACTATTCACATTTGCCCATTTAGAAAATGTGGCAAAAATCCTGGAGACAATGACTACCCAAGTAACGCGTGTACAATACGCTGTTCAGTGGGTAAGAAGAAGAAGCGGGTTTTGTGGGGAAAAAAAAAAACAATCATCATGACAAAAGACCAAGTGCACAAAGTGCATTTGCAGAGACAATTTAATCCCAGTATTTTCTTATTGCTTGACTCCATGCTCTTAAAGCATTCTTTCAATATCGTTTGTTTGTGCAATTCATCACAGGAGAAAGCATCTCACTTAAACTGCAATCTCCAGTTTATTAGGTATATTTGATATTCAACAATCAAGATTCAGTCATTATGATGAAAATGCTACATGAAGAAATACATCTTCGAGAATAATCATAAAGGCAGTGTTCCACTGGCAATGACTTGGATAGAAATGCAGTATTAACACAGAGTAAGGCTAGAGCTTGGAAAGAGTTTCTGTAGCTAATGATCTATAGTTCTTTAGGTTTCTTGGCCTAAACATTCCATATATCCCCATGTTTATCTGACAACGTCTTAGGCTTAGACTCCTGAGCATACAGCAAGCTAAACTCTGAATAAGAGAAACATTTGAGGAGCATAAAGAACAAAAGCCTTACTTGATTCAGATAGTTCGGAGTAATTTCCAAAGCAAGGTAAAAAAATTACAATTTCTCTGTCCCAGTAAAGACTGTGGACGAATGCTGCGGAGATCAGTCCTTTAGAGCTAGCTAGAGCAACACAACACACAGACAACATTTGAAGACAAAAAAGAAGGAACCAGTTGGAGGAACAGCACTGCATCTAAAAGGAGTGTACAATTAAATTTTTTAAAAGTCATTTACATCTTCAGTTTGATATACATATTGTTTCTTTGACTTCTAAAAAGAGGCAAGTTCACACTACAGTCTTTTCCCTAGCAAAGGTATTAGCATACCCCTCTTTTCCTACACTGGCTTCCATAAAACTTAAAAGAGCATCTTCAGGTTGGCCTGCAATTTATTTGGTCAACCTTTGCCAAACGCTACTGGGAGGGAAGATGCCCTGAAAAAAGAAGGCACCCATGTTATTTGCAAAAGAAATAAGGCTTGTTGTGTGGTCAAACTGAAAAAAAACCTGTTGTGTAGTGCTGCTGGAGACCAGCAGGTCTAAGAGAACAAAATATTACAGGACTGATCTTCTAAAGTACTGTAAGCTGCAAAATATCAGCAATGGGATTTATTTTAATTTTTTACCTACAGTTTACAAGCAAGAATCAGACTACAAAGAGTACAAAGACTCTAAGCTACTTTCAAGATAATTTGGTGTGCCAGTAACCCAAACCACTGAGAGGAGGAAGAGCTCCAATCTCTTTTGAGAAGAAGCCTCTCACGCTTCTCAATACAAGACAGAACAGAGTAGCCTGGGATCAATTACCACACATATAATTGACTTTAGAGCAGATACAAATTGATTCCCAGTGTAGAGCAGTGCTGGAGGTTTCAGATGCCAGGCATGAATATTTAAACAGGTTTTTTTAAAGATATAATGAGAAAAAGTAACACAGAACAGGTCTGGGGAATCTCTATACTTCCTATATCATCTCTTCAAACAGTGTATATTGCTAACACGAGGTAAGTAAAAAAAAATAAATGGTGAAATGCATTAGAAGTGCACATGACAGAAACAAGTAAATATGAACTCAGTCACATATGAATTTCAGACAAAGAAGTACTTTCAAACCAAAATACACTTCTTATATGAAAAAAATAAGGGTGGTTAAACATGGGTTTTTACAGATATACAGAATCTGGGACAAAGTATGAGTATTCCAGTAGAAGAGTCAATCTTTGACTGATTTACATTAGAAGCATAATTAACGATCTCCTTTTATTTTTAAAAATAATTGGAAAATAGAAAATAAATGTAAACTAGTAGCTAAAAAGTAAGAGGAGGTAAGTGCAATAGACAAAAGAATATAATTGTATCTACATATAAACCAATACAGGTCATTCATGCTTATGAAACCGTGAACCAGTGAAAGCAAATCCAATATACCATCAAGAGACATTCGTAAAAACTGCTGAAAAATCAACTGGCATCAGAAATGTGGATATATGTAGTATTAGTTTGTAATAAGTTACAAAGGAAGCCAACAAAATCCAAATCTGGAAATTAAGGAAATTTCCTTAATGTAAAGTTAACGCCAATGCCTTGGAAATTAAAACCATACTTAGAAGTAAATTAAGGCACTGAAAGACAAGAAAATTATGAACTACAACCATTAACACTGATAATCTTACAGGAATAATTCTTGTTAAACAACCTTTTAAAATAGATATAATATTAACGTCTGAAAGGATAAATTCTTTATGAAAGGAAAGACGCTTTTCCTTTGCCTGAGCAAATATAACTGTATTTGTACACAGAGGTAATACAACTGCATTTTAGTGAAGCACACGATACTTCCATCTGCCAATATCAGACATTGAAAATACTATAATTCCCTTAAAACTGTCCAAGCGACTTATATGCAGTGGAAAACATACACCAGAGAAGCTGGAAGTAACTATGCTACTTCTAATTTCTATGGAACAGGTTCATCCTGTTCCTTCGCAACTGCACCATTAGCTACATTAAAAGCATGGACAATTCAGGACAGTGGGTTAATGTTTCCTTTGTAAGATTTCCTTAATACACATTATTATGCTCAGACCTCAGGTATTATAACAGCATCAATAACAGAAATGCATTTGCAATTGGGCAGCATGCATCCAAAAATCAAGTTATGAATGGTGTAAGTAACTGTAACTCTTTTCCAGACATTTTGCCATTTTGGTAATTAAGTATCTCAACATTTCCTATATATCATAAGGTCACACCGATGCTTTGTTTTCCGCTGGATTCTAACACAAGCAGACTGGCTACTGCTTTTTCACAGAACTTGCAGCAGAACATAAATAAGCTCTTTCAGGTTTATTATAAATATTTGTTTGCAAAAGCCCATTCCTCCAGATAAGCTTAATGCTGAAGCCTTTGCCACACCTCCTTTTTCTTTGTGCTGGATTTCATATGTTGAACCATCAAAACACAAAGGCATCTGTCCTGTCTGTACCGCAGAATCAGGCAGCAGCAAAAAAGCAAACAAAAATTGGCGGGAAAGAGGTTGTAGTGCTGAACAAAATGTTAAGAATTCTTATAGATTTTGGGCAGAAACTACCATTATGATTTTTCTCCTGAGGAATGCCAATTCTGCAAACCAGTAAGACTATTTTGTTTCACATCTACGTTTTTGAAGGGCAAACCAAAGAAATCCTATCTTCTCTTGCAAACCGTCCACCCAGGCACACACATTCCAAACTGCTCACTCCAGCAGAAACAGATGAGAAAAAAGGCACCCGGAGTGCTAAGATGGGCCCGATCATTAGCAATCCCTCTGGCCAAAAGAAAGTCACTCTAGTGAATAGATTTCTCCCTTCAGGCTTTTTTCTCACTCATTATTTTCAGAATCACTTGTCTTAAACTTTCAGCCATCTGTCTACATACGCAGCATTACAAACCGGGGGGGAAAAAAGCATTTCTTTTACCTTCACAAGACAGGCCATGAGATGTGACTCCAGAGAGGCTCTCTCTACACACATTACAGAAGGTGGGTCGGGCGTGGGAGCAGGCGTACCAGTTATGCATCCCTGAGAAATGTTCCACATTAAACTGTGCGGTCTAGTAAAGGAGAAGTTAAGACAAATTTGCAAGTACAGAACACAGCTACGGTGACTGAAATTTCCTATGGTTCCATATTACAGGGAACAACAATGCAATGTTCACCAAAAGTATTTTCCAAAGAGTATTTAACCTGCTCTCCCTCCAAACTTCTAAACACAAGTGTGATAATAAGCTCTCATTTTGCTAGTAAAGTTCTTAACATGAAGCTTCACCTTGACATTACACACACTTTTCACACTATGGAGGGTGAATACACTCCAGTTCTGTGTCCTGTAGCTTGATCTGTTGAGCTAGAACAGGTTGCACTAATAGGGATGTCAACTTACCTCATAGTGTTCTCTGGACTGAACGGACTTCAGAGAGCTTATCCAGTCCTCCATTTCTTTTCTGTTCTCAGCACACAATATTAGCCTCCTAAATGGAGTGATTATCTGGAAAAGATAATGCATTCTGATTAATCCCAATATTAAAAATCATTAAGACTGTAATATTTAACATAGTATTTTTGGGGAGATGATGCAAAAAGGAAGACACACCCTAGATCACAAGACATTAAACGCTTAGAAATATTTTCTTTAATACACTACCAACAATGAAGGACTTTGCTTTTCCTTTTTCAGTTCCCGAGATTCGAATCAGGCTTCGGTGTAGGTCTTTAAGATCTATATTGATCATTCCTCCTTCTCAGCTCTTTCTGTCTATGCACTGAGATTTAAATACTCAAATGGCAGGCACTGAAATTGCTAAAACAACTGTTCTGGAAATTACTAATTGACTAAGATTGCAAACCTATTTCATAACAGCATTATAGCAATTGCAAGGTCCATTCCAATTGCTAGAGACAAAAACATATCAAAATCAAAAGCCTGGAAGTCATAAACAATAAAAGCTTTCATCATAGTTATCATTCTTGTACACTGATATTAAATTTACACAAATTTAAACATACATAAATTTAAAACAGAACTTTGTATATAAAACCCAGTATAGGAAGACATAAAAATCTTTATAAAAGGACAAAGAGAACAAAAGCAAACAGCTTAAGCCATATCCTGCTAGGATGGTTGAATTAATTTCTGGAACAAGTTGATTTTGGGGAGTTTTCAGAGGTCTGGAGACAGATTCTGGAAATCTGAAAATACTGTATCTAGGAGGTTCAGAGTATAAGCTGTTTTCCCCTTTCCCTCACCAGTAGAAAAATAATTAAAATAACATGAAGGCACCAGAAACTATCAGCTAACTCCCACTGAAATTATTTTGAGAACTACACTAAAATAGACGGAGCAGTTACTTACAAAGCAAAGAATTTAAAACAAAATAAGTATATAAAATTAAAGGAAAGTTATTTGGTTTGCTGTAGGAAGTCTGAAAAATAAAATTAAATCCTTTATCAGTGTTACGCATAAATCTATTGCATAGCACTGTACCACCCACACTTGCAAACTACTTAAGTAAAACAAAGAAAGGACCACTGAAAAATGATAGCTCTGAGTATTGTTTTAAATGCTACAGGCTAGATATTGTAACATTTGCACAATATTAGTAAACACTTATCCACAGCTGCATTTACTTACCCAGTCTCTGCCGTAAATCGTCTCTAGCCTTTATCTGTCCTATCCACTTCTTCATTAAACTGAGCTGCACTTTAACATATCTCAGAGGCAACGTAACTGAAGTGCAGCAAGCTGCAAGTCACATGGAGGGGAGGCAAAAACCCTGTGGGCTTCCTTCCCCCCCCCCCTTTTTTTTTTTTTTATGTACTCACTTCACATAGAATGGAATAGTTTCTCTGTTTTCTATTTCCTTCAATCTTGCTTAAGTTTTTTTAATAAGGTTTATTAGTAGCTCTCTGTGGCTCTTCCTAAAGAACAGTTAATGCAAAGAGCAATGCTTCTCTCATTAGTTTGGAGCCAAACAGACGCTTTATTACTTCAAAATGTTTTTCTAGGCCAGGTCATCAAATGAAGCCCAGAAAAGCCATTAAATCATAATATAACCCTGGCTCCAACAACAATCAGCATTCTGCTGGAATTTCCAGGTTTTAGTGGACTCAGAAATCTTATCTCGGCAAATACACCCACCACATTATTTCCTATTATATAGCATGACGTTAAAATATGGATTAAGTAAAGACAAGTCCACCCAAAACTCTGCACTTTACGTCCATCCTTCCCCCATGCTCATTACTGATGCTGACCTGTTACCAGATGTTGTGAAATGCCATTAAGCAACAACAGCTGCATTTACTGCTGAAGACTCCTGACAATCTCGATCTTTTCAAGTAAAATTTATTTATGCTACTCATGTCTTTAATACCACTGACCACAGAAATCCCCTGTGTGTCCCCCTTCTCTCCCCTCCCGAAATCAAGGCCTTAGTTCAGCTGTTCACACATAGTTATCTAGGGTCAATGGAGGTGTCATTTGCTATCCAAAGCATTGGCACAGGGCAGGTAAATATGACAGAGGACCAGAGCACCTGCAACAGCAGCTATAAGTAAGCCAGGTGGGACACCAAAGGCCGTCTCAGAAGGTACTACACACCCACGTACTGGCAACCAAATCATGTCACCAAACATTGCTAACTAATGAATGCAAATATACCAGAAATTCCTATATCCCAACTTCATATTAAATTCAGAGCATAACAAACATAATGAAGTTCAGAGCATTTCAACTGTGTAAAAGTTAAATTATATACTGACGATCACATAAATGTAGGATCAATTATTATTAGTGCTATAAAGTGGAAAGTTGGAAGACAGATTCGTAAATACAGCATCTATAACATGATGATTACACTGCATATTCTCTTTGATTTATGTATTTTTAACAACAAACTTTAAGAAGGAATATGATAACATGAAAAAAGGCAAAATACATTATATGCAAAAAGTACTGACAATGCTTGGAGTTTTGATTAAAAAAAAAACAAAAACAAAAACAAAACAAACAACAAACAAACCACTAAGCAGTCCATTTACGTTTTCATCTATTTCAGTCTCCAAAATCATGGACAACATGTACTTTCGCTATTTATTAGATATTTCACATAACATAAGAACTCAGTGAACCAAGGAAGTGATTAGCAAACAATAAGAAATGTTTTTTCCTAAATGTAACGCACTATTTAGACTTGAAAAGTATTCCCAAAGGATGCTGAGGAGACCATAAGTATAAATGTCTAAAAAGGCATTTGACAAATTCATCACTAATAGATGCATCATATACTATAACGCACAATACCTGAAACCTTCAACTTCGCAAGTACTGAAAAATCCAACAGTGAGTGAATGTTGGGAAGTTACACAAGAGGAAGAGTCGCTGTACATGCCCTGCTGCTTGTGCACCTTTCTTGAGCTTTCTTCTGCTACTGTTATTATACTACTTGGATTTAGTGTGGTTTTATGAGCTTTACACTAAAACTGAGAATAGCTATTCCTACTTGTCCTAAACTTCAGAATGACTTCCTGTACCTTATTTGTATTTACACAGAAGGAATGCTTTCTTATGGATGCTTACAGAAGTTTATGATTAACTAACTAAAGTGGGATGTTTCGAGTGCATTCATTAAAGACAGATGAACTTGCATGCAGACATAATAAAAATGAATTTAATTGTCCTTAAAACTATTTCCCAGACACGTAAATTTAGATTTTACTAGTGATCTTATCTCATTGCATGTAGTCATATTGAAAGTCCTGTATCTTTTCTTCCACGGACAGAAGTCAGTATCTTTTCTTCTATTACATATTGCCTTTTTTTTTTTTTTTTAAATTTATGCTCTCTGCCCAAAATATTATTATTTATATATCACTTTAAATATGCTAAACTCAAGAGACAAAAAGAAATTGTATAATACAATGACAAAGGAAGTGTCACAGGATTCACTGGAAGACCAGTGAGATAACATAAGAAAACTCTTAAATCTTGGAGGAACTCAGGTGCTAATAGTTCACATGCTGACAAAGCAGAAGACAAATCAAAAAGGATGAAGACAGGCAAAAGGCCTTAAAAATAAATAAATCAAGTGGATTTAATTTAGAAGATTAAGTTACTCTGAAAATTTTCACCGTTGCCAAGTAGCCAAGAAGAAGTCATTGCTGATTTTGGAAGAGAGAGTTATCAAAGCCAGATACCGCAGTACCTTGGAAAGTAATGAAATTGAGGTAGTGGGAATAAAAAACACTTTTAATGCAGTAGGCGTAGGGGTAAGAGTGAGCATACACAGTGTTAAAAGTTTAAGACAAACAACACAAGTCCTCAAACATCATAGAGAATAAAGAATGTCTGTACAGGAAGAAAAATGGCCCATTACTGCAATAATGTTCCTGTTATGTTCAGAAAAATAGGGGGCTTTTTGACTGGGGAATGAAGGAGAGAACAAGAGGACATTGTTCAGTTTGCCACCACACAGGTCTTGCCATAATTGGGATTTTCACACATGTTGACAATAGGATGATCTGGCTTATAAAAATATCCACATACTCATATATATGTACATGCACATCTGGAAATTACTTCGATGAAAATTACACAGTCAAGTTTTGGGTCACTAGTGCAACTTTTCTCTCAGACAGCACCTATTAGGAACAAGCTTAACATCTTGAAAGGAAACAAAATTGCTATTAAATTCAGTGTAAATTTAAAAGCACCTTTCACTTTCAATGGGGCTAACTTCACTGATAACATTTTATGTGCCTTCAGCCCAATGGGTTTAGACTCTACAATCTGTAAAATAAAATCATAAAGAGATCAATTAAAGTCTATTGCCTGATTTTTAACATCTTTTATCACATTAGCAATAGATAAGAAAATACAGTTCCCAAAGCTTGGTGGCTATATTTCTGCTTTCCTCTATCAATTCAAAGAAAAATGCAGATGCTACATTTGCTAATCAAGAAAATAATGATCTACAACTCAGCAGCAACACAGCAGCTATTGTAAAGCACCCTGCTTCCTGCAACATGATATTTGCATTAAAGCACCTTCTGCTGCCCTAAACTATTATCAGGCATTACACTAATGGCACTTGGTATGGCTTAGCTCGAATTGACATAGTAATGTAGAAACACTTAGAATCCAAAATGGGCAGGGAAATGGTTTTCCTGTTTTTTGAACAGATACTTTTAAAATATCTTGCTGGAACTAATGAAGAGAGGATGATATAAAGAGAGAGAGCACCCTTACCTCTCCTTTTAGGGACTGCATCCAATGCCTGGGGGCATGAAGGTAATACATTTAATGCTTTGTAACTTCTTTGTGCTTCAGGATGCTGGCAAGTGAGTTCTGGCAAATACCAGGATAACATGTTATGCATACCTTGTTTTCTGTCTGCCCCTGCATTTCCCTGTCCTTATGCATGTGAGTCTGCAACGGATGAATTCACCACCATCACAGTGGTGGGAGTAGACTGCTGACTGGGGTCACTG